TGCCTAACCCCTTCAATCCCTCCTCTACTCTATTTATACAATCTCATCCTAACAGAAACTACTAACAGCTAACCACATACCAAACTATAACAGACTATACAGCTGTCCATTCACATATATTAACCACCTATACAAACAAACACAATCAACATATACTATCCACATATACAAACACACACACAATCAAGAGCGTACCTTACTCTGTAGATGTCTCTCCCTGCTTTAGCTCCTCTCTTCTGTTCCTCCAGCTCCTTCTTCAGCCACTTCTTCAGCTCCTCCCTCTTGACCTTCACCCTTTTCTGCTTCCTTTCCTCTCTTCCTGCCTCTGACGTAAACCCTGAAGTACTTATCAGAAGGACACGGTAGTCGTCCAAATGCATCTAGCGCAGGTGATTTTACTAGAACTATGGGTGACCATTTCGGGTTTCGGCTCTGTATTCAGATTTGGTTATTTCGGTTATAGAAAAACTATAATTATTCGGTTTTTATATAAATTTCGGTTCGGTTCAATTAGTTTTCGGTTTTTTTGTTGTAAAAAAAATTATTATTTTAAAAAAGGGAAAATGGAAAAAAAACCTGAACTTTTTAATTTGGGAAGATTAATACCCAAACTCCTGATATCCTCTAATAAATCCTGAACTCGTATATTCGTATCATATTTGACCCTGGATAATGATGTGACATTCCGATTATTGACACATCAAAATTGTAGTTTAATTTGGATTGACATGTAAATGCCACATAATATTTTTTAACACGTCAATAATTGTATTTTTTATTTTTTAAATATAAAATTAACTCGTTCGAATCGCTCTTTTTCTCCTCTCACCATCGACAAACCCTAAATCCCTAAAATAAAAGCCACCTCTATTGTTCGTCTCCAGGGATATTCAGTGTTGTCTTCTCCAAGTCATCATCATCCATCACCTTTTCGAAGTCATTATCACCGAACTTATTTATGGAGTAAGTTTTCTTTTAATAATAATTTCTATGTTTGCAATTATTTCTCTGCGTGTGCTAAATATAAATCTGATATATGTGTCAACGTCCATGTTTCTCTATGTATGAATGTATCTGTGTATTTATGTGTGTTCATATGTATTTGTGTGTATATGTTTTAATGTGTGTGTATGCGTGTTTGTATCAGTGTGTGTTTATGTCTGTGTCTATATGTTTGTGTCTATGTCTGTATATTTATGTATATGTGTTTGTGTATATGTGTGTATGTGAGTCTGATGTCTAATATTGGTAGGGTTGTGAAGTTGAATATCCATTATAGTGGAATGTTGGACAAAGAGGATGGACAATGGAAGTATTTCGGTGATTTTGTGGAGGAAAGGTTAGAAATTGATCCAGATTATCTGTCGTGGTTTCTATTTGAGGACTTTTTACACAAGCGGAATACATCATCTGCCATTTACGAAATCTGGTACAAAACTCCACATGAGAAAATGGATGAAAGAAAGCAGATTCGAGAACTTGTTGATTTGGAAATTCTTCAGATGATTGCTGCAGCAAAAGTATCAGGGGAACTAGACGTGTTTATTGAACAAGAGGTATCGGAGCCAACACCAGTAGTAGTTTTACAGCAACAATATGAGAATTTAGATGGTAATAGTGATGAAGATAACCAACAAGGAGACAATGATGGAATGGATAACTTTGGGGACAATGTTTCTTATGAAGAGGAGAATGAAGTAGGTTTGGAAGAAGGAGATATCATTTTTGATGAAGAGGTGATGTACGATGATGGGTTACCAACAACACCGCAAAACATGGATGATGAGTTTGAAAATCCAGTTGAAAAACCGAATCCACCTGTTTTTGATGAGGCTGCAATTGACCCACAGTTATATATTGGTAAGATGTTTAACTCAGTTGACGAGGTCAAAGATGCATTCTTTAAATATGTTTTGAAGTATAAGTTTGAAGTGAAGATCAATAGGATGGAGCAGAAGAAAATATCTGCAATTTGTGATCATCCAGATTGTTCATGGAGAATATATGATTCGGTTGATGTGACGAAGGATAAGTGGATAATCAAGACTTATAACAACGACCATAATCATATACCAAAGCATGAGTCTAAGATGTTGAAGATGAGAACAATTGCCAATATGTTTCTGGATCAATTACGATCAGACCCAACGTATCCAGCAAAAGAAATGCAATATGAAATCAAGAGATATTTTAATATAGAAGTCTCGAAGGGCATATGTTATAAGGCTCGGAGCGTAGGTTTGAGAATTGTGATGGAAGATCAAAAAGTTCAGTTCGCCAAGCTGTGGGATTATGAGGCAGAGATTAAAAGATCTACTCCCAACACAACAACGGAGATTGGAACTGTGTCTGGTATTCAGGGTCGACAATTGTTTCACCGTTTTATGTGTGTTTCGAGGCACTCCGTGAGACATTCAAAAAGTATTGTCGGCCTGTGATAGGATTAGACGGATGTTTTTTGAAATGGTCTTTAAAAGGTCAACTACTCGCTGCAATTGGAAGAGATGGGAACAACCGAATGTATCCAATTGCATGGGCAGTGGTACGTGTGGAGGATAACGATACATGGTCTTGGTTTGTGAGGAAGCTGAAACAAGATTTATGCCTTGGGGATGGAAGAACTTTGACTATAATATCTGACAAACAAAAGGTAATGATATTATCTTGTGTACTAATATTGATTATACTACATGTTGTATAGTAATATCCATTATATTTTATTTTGCAGGGTTTGGTTAATGCTGTTGCAAATGAGTTACCTCGTTGTGAGCATCGTATGTGTGCCCGTCATATATATGCAAATTGGAGGAAAACATACAAGGAGATTGACTTGAAGTATTTATTTTGGAACATTGCAAATAGTCTTCATGAAGATGAATATGAACAACACATGCAAGCCTTGAAAGAACTAAACCCTGGAGCACATGATGCAATCATTGCCTCTCAACCGAGAAAATGGTCCAAAGCATTTTTCCGAACATATTCGCATTGTGAGGATATTCTAAACAATATGATAGAGAGCTTTAATATGTCTATCAAGACTGCAAGACAACGTTCTATTATTGATATGCTTGAATCCATTCGGAGGCAGACTATGGCTCGGATATCACAAAGGTCAATGGAGGCAAGTCGATGCAAGAGTCAACTCACTCCATATGCTATGAAGTTGTTGGAAAAAAATCAGGAAATGACTCGGTTCTGTATGTCCACACCTAGCGGATATGGTAGATACGAGGTGATGGATTTCAGGACATTGCACTCATTGGATCTTGCTTCAAGAAGGTGTGCATGTCGTAAGTGGGATTTGACTGGTATCCCATGTGAACATGCATTGTGCATTATATCCAGTCGAGGAGAACAAGTCCAAAGGTATGTATCTGACCACTTTACAAGGAGTAGATTTGAACAAACTTATGAACGGAATATACTGCCTGTGAACGGGGAAACCTTTTGGATAAAAACTCATAAAGAGCCCATTGGTGTACCTAAGAATCGAAGACTGCCTGGTCGACCTAGAAAATTCAATAGAATTAAGGATGCACACGAGAAGGATGGACATCTTACACGACATGGACGTCGAATGACTTGTAGTCAATGCAAAAAGCAATGACATAATGCCAAGACTTGTAAGAACGAACCTATTCAGGAATATGGTCCTTCTCGAGCACGTGGACGACCGCGAAAATTTCGGGTATGCGTTTTTTCTTTGTAGTGTTGTCTATCTTCATTTATCGGTTGATATATTGTTCTCTTTTCTACTTCATAGGCTCAGGAAGAATCAAGTTCGACTGCACCAATCTGGCGGGCACCAATTCGACGGACATCATCTGCTCAACCTAGACGCAATGAAGGCTCGTGCTCATCGATGCCAATTTAGACAAGTCAAATCGCGCAATCTGCACTTTCTAAGCTGCGAAACAGGCGTCAAGAACTCCGATAACTTCTGTGAACACGAAAATACCTTCTAGGACTTTCCTATCACCTTACACAGGGAGAGTTTAGGCCGCCCCGACACGTACAAAGTGGCGACAAACAAGACAAATAGTTTTTTTTTTTTGCATACATGTCAGTCTGGATCGTATAGATGGATAATCATCTTTTTTCTTTTATTTTACGGCTTTCGAAATACCATTTTATATTGTCATGAATTCTCATCTTGGAATGTTAACTATTTGGACTATGCAATTAATAGATATTTGTATTAAGCTTTAAGGTTTAGTTGACTTTGTCGACTGTGAAGGGAGAAGATAAAGGGTGATCTGACCACTTTTTTATGTTTTTTGAAATTGAATCGGTTCGAACGAGTTAATTTTATATTTGAAAAAATAAAAAAATACAATTGCTGACGTGTTGAAAAATATTATGTGGTATTTACATGTCAATCCAAATTAAACTATAATTTTGATGTGTCACTAATCAGAATGCCACATCATCAAATATGATACGAATATATGAGTTAAGGATTTATTAGAGGATATCAGGAGTTTGGATATTAATCTTCCCAAATTAGAAAGTTCAGGTTTTTTTTTTCTATTTTCCCTTTAAAAAATGATTATTTTTTTATTATTTTTTTAATCGGTTTGGTTATGGTTATATCTTAAGAATCAACTAAGAGACTGTTGAACAATGAACAGCATCGGAAGCCCACAAGTACCCAGAATTCTGACCCAACCCCAAGACCAGAATCAGAATCATTCGACTCATAATCACAACATTTGGTGGTATAATCCTTAAAAAGCCGAAGACCCTCTTTCGTATTCTCGACAATTGAGCTGCATACGCAGAGATGATCCAGTTCCAGGTAACATGATCTCTGTAGGGCATTTTATCGAACACTTGGAGGGCATCGAAATGAGAATGCTGATCAAGAACGGTTCTGGTACTGGTGACCAAAACATCAAACCATCGACTGATAAAAGCTCTTCAATAGGATGGAATGCAAATAAGCAAGTAGGGCGACCGAAGTGGATGATGCCTAAACAAGCGATGAACATGAAATCTACCTGAGAACTTGATATATATATTAAAATAAAAGACTTGAAAATTTAAGACAGACGACCAAATGTCGGATTAGGCCCCCAAAAATTTTAACAAGGAACACAAAAAAAAAAAGGATCACCAAAGTTTTGATCCTCTTGATGATAACAAAAAAAAAAGTATTTATCTGATGCTTCCATCAACCTAAACATTAAAGCTTCAAGCTTTCCCTCTCGGACTTCACCTGCTGTTCCTACCCCTTTCCTGTTCTTTTTCCCTCCCTTTCTCGGTTTTTTTTTGGGTTTTTTTTCCTGCAACTACATCTCTTCCCATGTACAGAACAGATACAACAAATAAATCCGACCCATCACCTATCCCGTGTTTTATTTTTCCATCCTTTGATCTTTGTAAGTCGTGTATAGCTTACTTCCTATAATACCTGACGTTTTTCTGCTGTTGTTTGGTCAGTATATCACCACTCTGAGGAGACCCGGTTGAGGTTCTGTGTAGTCAAGGCCTTCTTCTTCCAGCAGATAGCGTTGGACCGCAATGGGAAGCCGAGCTGGTGTTCGGGAGCCTCGGGTGTGATGGCCCGTCCCTACGCATATGTAAACTTGAAGCCGCTGATCCGATGCACGGGCTGCACTCCTCGACATGCTCAGTTCGTGCCTTAGCGTTTGGATGGCTTCGCTCACATGTAACCCGTGCAGGTCTATCATTCGCTCGTTCCCTCTTACATTCTCTGCACCAACCGGGTTCCTGAATTCACCATATCGGTTATCTCCATTGGAATATCGAAAAAAACAGTTGAATAAATAAAGGGTCAAAATGGTAAACGAGAACATATAAGTAGAGCTAGTCCAAAAAATCCCGACATTCAGATACCTCACACGACCCGAAGGTCGGGTATCCAAAATTCGGATACACAACACTATATGAGATGAGATTGGATAGCATGAAAATACTCGAAAATAAGTTATCCGAGATCGGGTTCAGGTTCAAATTCGAGTAATTGAGTCCGAGATTGTGTATTCTCTGTAGTTGTCCGAATGAAAAGTAAAATAACATTTTTGCCCCTAGATTTTAGAGATATTACGTACAAACTTATTGAAATTTTGGGACCGAATTTAGATCGAATTTAAAATAACATTTTAGCCCTAATCAACTCCTAAAATATATGATATTTATTTTGAAAGACATCAAAATTTTGTACTTCAGCTCGGGTTTGGGTTACACTAATATCCGACAAAAAGTATAAGAAATGGCAAACCTTTGACGGTAAATGGCATCTTGAGCTTTTCCATGAGCTGCCTTCATTTTCATGTTATGTAACTGTCCCTTGGCACTTAGTTCTTTAGCCAAGGCCTTATTTCCGATAAGATATGCCTGTCGTGCCTAAACTCAACCGAGAGGAACAAAGAGCTTAATTATTTATCTAATAATGTACAGCTGAATCTCAGAAATGAAATGGACGAAGGAGTAATAAAGCATAGCCGTTGATGAAATTCCATCACTCCAAGGTTTCTAAGGCTAAATCTCAAATGCAAATAACACTCAAAAGCACAAAGAAAATGTTGTTGGCATGTTGATTTGCATATCTTATAACATATTAAACACAGATTCTGTCGTTGAACAACCCTAATGTAAAAACCAGAACAATTCAAACCCAGTATATGCTCTTATCATAAAAACATAGTCACTCCCTAGAAAGAAAGGCGGTGTGATAAGAGAGAGTAACCGGACAAGAACTTGACAACTACGTAAAACTATACCTGTTCAAAGTAGGCATTCCGTAGACGTGCATGGTCACGAGCTTCTTCACGAAATTCAGAATACATATTTGCTGTTCATCCCAAAAAAAAAAAAACATGATAGCAACATATATGGAGAATGCATTGGTTGATTTTCTCATTTCTTAGAATTCATGCAAGTGATTGGAAAGTAATACACGTCCAAGATTATTTGAGTGAACACATGCAAGCTAAAGTTTGTCAATAGGGGAAATTACCAACTGCATCTCCTGTTTCCACCCAGACAGGAGCTGGTCGGTTTGGGGCATGGTTTTGCAACTTGTCAGCATAAATGCTTCTTCCCTGCCCACTTCTGTAAGCACCGGCAAAACCATGGGGGCTTCTACTAGAACCAACAGCTGAATCCACAGAATTGTTTCTTTCATATTTCCACATACCAGAATCCTGGGGTGCCAATTTCCTGACAGCAGAGGCATAATCTATCGAACCCGTATGAGGACCAAAAGAGCTTGGCTTGAAGAAAAACATGTTATCCTTTTCAGCAGTTTGGTAATGATTTCCAGCTTGCTGATGATAATCATCCCCGCCAAACTTGGCAGGAATACCCTGGCTATCTGAGATAGTAAGGGGGGGAAAATCCATTGCCTTCAGATTAGGAGCAGATAATGCCTTAGAGCTTATGTTCTGATTGAGCCCAGCATCCACTTGCAGCTACAATCGAAAGAAATAAGGGTAAAATCCAACCAGTAAAATGAAAAATCTAAAAGAACACCAAATGCCCTACCTTACAAGAGGAAACACATATCCGTGTTACCCAGTACCACGGTATTTGAATAACTACGACAAAGCAAACAAAATATTTATGACTCCCCAACCCCAGCACATCTAAGAAATTTGAGGTTAAAATTTGATTGCTTCAAGAGATGATGAATGTCTAGCCCTTCTCTTTCAAAGGAGGGTATAAAGAGGCAACTCTAAAATTTCACCAATATCTAGACCAAATCACATGTTCGACAATAGATAAGTTGAAGAAACCAAGAGGAACAACAAATTGCCAGAAAACTTCAGCAGTTCGAAACAGGCATTTTGACCCCGGCCAAGATATCACAAGATCAAAGCATAGAAAAATGCTTCAACCATATGAAACACGATTGGAAACCATGCCTTATATTGATTTAGACAATACCTCGAGCTGAGTAAGCATCTCGATTGTCAGGTGTAAATCACAACCATTAGCAAAGTAAACTTCTGCAAGACTTTCAGCAGCAAATCCAGGGAACTGAGAAGCCAAGAATTCCACAGGGTTCACATCGATGTCCCCCATATTTGAACTTTCACTAACCATATCGTTCATGAAGCCATATTGGGAATTCCCACTGTAAGGGTGTCCCTCGCTGCCGTTTCCAAGAAGCTGATCTCCATTCATGATTTGGTTATCCCAAGGCTTTGGAGTCAGATGCGTGAAATTAGTTTGCTGAGGATCCTCCCCAAATGATGAAACGGGAAATCTCATCTTTTCAGACAAAATGTTACCATTCAAGCGTTGTGCAGAAAAATCGGATTGGTCTGCAAATGCATAACATCCAACTGCAGAAGTAGGAAACTTTGCAGTTTCATTAGTATCGTGCAATGACAAACCAGCTAACGATAGACTATCAAGTCCTTGAGATTGATCATCCTCTGGCATCAACTTGAAGTCTGGGGTTATATCATCCGGGAGTTGGTGACTCCAGAACTGGCGTGCTTCTTCATCTGAATGACGGGAAGTAGATGATTCTGTTCGGTCCAGGACAGCTTTCCCTATGGATTTACTAGATGATGCAAGCCTCGGAGTAGCATCTAACATGCCAGTACTTCCAGAGGAAGGAGATCTAAGAGAAAATGGAACGAACTCAGCAGCATTTGGGTTCAAAGTCATCGGCTTGCTACTCGTGTTTAGCTTAGTATCAGTCATCTGCAGCGCTTTCTTAGTTAAGCTCATTCTTCAACGAAATATAAACAAGGATCTATTCGGCCACCAAAAACCTTGAAGACTTTTTCGACAGCAACTCTTAATAATATTGTAGTTTTCACCCAAAACCTGTAACAAAAAAGAGAGAGAGCGGCTTAACCACTCAAATTAGCAAGTAACACAACCAGAAACTCAAGTATTCCACTTCAATGCAAGAATTCAATCATTTGGCAAGACCCCAGCGGGTGTATTATTGGCCAAAACCAGTACAGTACACTTTAAGCAAATCATTGACGCTTTTTGTTCCCGAGTACGTAAAAGAGAACATCGGTTCTTCACACAGACAAGCATGAAGTGTATGAACAACAAACCAGACTACAAATCTGGAACCCCAAAAACTACAACTAAAATCCCAGATTCTGAATATACATAAAACCTTATCCGTAAACAAGTTAAAGTTCAGTGGTTTTCGTCACGAACCAGTATCATTCCAAGAAGATAATGCTGAAGATTAGTTAAGACCGTAAATTAACGGAAAAAGAGTAATACCCACAAAACCAGATTCCAAATATCCATGAGCTTCAAGCTAATAAGTATGTAGAACCTGACATTCTCCACAGAAATAAAGCGCAATTGGCGAGAAACCCAGTTCATCAAACCACAGAAAAAAGTACAAAAAACCCATATTGGGCTCGAAATCCTAAAGAACACGTGGATCTACGGAAAGGGCACGAACCTTTGCGGAACAAATCGAATGGATCCATGGAAGACGACCCAGATCAGAAGCTGAAAGCTTGGGAAAAACCCAGATGAAAAACACGTCGACGTAGGCGGATTTTCAAGTCCCAGAAATAAATTTCGCTTTTTTCTAGGGATTCGAGCAAAATCGTCTGTGCAAAATTTGGTGGAAGCCCTGTTTGGCTAAAAGCAGTGTCTCGACCACCACAAGATTATAAACGAAGACACCCAACCTTACGCCTCTAGATTTGACCCCTTTTTTTTGTCCTCCTTTATTTTATCTTATTTATTTAATTAGTTTTTTCATTTGTGGATTTTATTTATTTATTGCGTTTTCTTTTCTCGATCTTATCTGCCATAATAATTTAATAACTATTATTATATTAACACTAACGGATCAATTAACAAAAGAAACTTGGCAGGGACAAAAATTTAATATTATAATGAAATTGATATTTTCTATATGTATAATCCTTGTTCACCAAAGCCATATTTAAACAAAAAAAATCAACAATTTTTAGATATTTTTTTATGTTATTCATAAATATAATCGCCTATATGATTGGGAAGGAAATTGAACCAATAATAAGAAAAAGAGAATATTAAATTGGTCCAAACTCATACTTGCAAACCCCATTATGAATATCATATTTGATCGAATATTTACTCATTCTTTCTTTAAAATTTATATATAAAATTTGGTCGGTACCACTAATATTTTATAACATCTTAACAAGTATGAATTAAAGTGAAATGAAATCTAACTTGGTTTCGGGTTAAACAAAACTCAAATCGAAGTCAAATTTTGTAAAAAAAATAATTAAAGGTAAATTTATAATTTATGGTTTATAATTTATAAATTTTAAATTTTAAAACATGATAGGGTTATTTTAAAAAAATGTAAAATATACGGGGTACGTAAATAAATTTTTAGGATAATTTCTTAATTTTTAATAAATACAAATTATATGTTTATACCAATATTAGTTATCCTCGAATATTAAAAAAAAATTGTATAATACCTTTAAAGCCCTTTCTTGTTGTTGAAATTTCAAAGCCATCCATGAAAACCCCAAGCATTAGATGAAATGTTAAAAAACCATCATTAGATATTTGATTTAATTGTTATGTCGTTGTTGTGTTGTAAAGCCAAGAGATGCAAACCAAAAGAATTACAACAGTGTTATCTTTCTTCGTTCATGCATTGAATTCTCTCAACGTATATGTAATCTAATGTATCCGTAAACTATGGTTTTAAAACAATATGTGTAAGGTATCGAATTAAAATGGTCCGAATTATATCTCATACGGACCGTGTTACGATATACACGATTCGAGTTATACTTATATTTGATTTAAATTGTACCGATATTCTATATTAAAAAAAAAAGAAGACGAAACCTCCTATAAAAGAATTGATATGGTCCGAGTTATATTTGACACGGACCGCGTTACACATGACACGATTCGAGTTCTAACTGATTTGAACCGTATCAAGTTTCTGTACCAAAACCCCATTTCTATTAAGAACATTCGTTTAGGTTGAGTTATACCTCATTCGGAACGAGTTAATTTACTACCAAAAAACGAATATATTTTTATCGATCTATATTATTTCATTTACGAATACATAACTTTTTCATTATATTCGTGATACATAATCTATGAGAGATTATTTCACCCCATAGTTTACTCTAAAATATATAACAATATAACCATTCCATCCAAAACTTGTATGGAGGAATAACCTTAGAACCACCGTTAATGTAAAAAAAAGCTCGGGTTTTTTACTATTAGATTACCTTGTTTTGCCTCTCTTTCGACTCCTTGTAAAGTATAGAATCCGAATAATTTACATTCACGCGCTTTTGGCGTTTGCGAGAAGGTCGAAACTTTTCATTGTCCACAAACTTCATTTTTGTGTCTTCGGTGTTAGCCTCCTCCGTCTTTGTATCATCTTCCTTCATAGATTGCAAGATCCGAACCACCTCACCCATGTGGGGCCTAAACTTGGGTTGGTGGCCTAGACACTTATGGGCCAAGGCGGCCACTACTTGGACCGGCTTGGCCTGGTACTGACCCTCCAGTCTCGGGTCTATTATCCGTTCTAGCTTTCTCGGGTCCCTTAACATGGGCCGAGCCCATTCCACAAGGCTCTGCTCCCTCAATGCCCGGTTATTGTCCATAGACCGTTTTCCGGTTATCAGTTCCAAGAGGACTACTCCAAAGCTGTACACATCGCTCATGGTTGTCAAGTGTCCTGCCAATTATCGTATGGTTCTCAGTAGAGTTTCATATGTTTAATTTGCTTAACCGGGTCCGACTTTGAACACATCTTACCGGTCATAATATATTCCGGGGCGGCGTAACCTTGCGTTCCCATGACCCGAGTCGTGACATGTGTATCTTCGCCTTCAGGACCATCTTTAGCCAGCCCGAAATCGGATAACTTTGCGTTGTAACTCTGAAAGTTAAACCGATAAAATCGAATGAACGACACGGATTCATCGTTATAATATGAAATCATTAGGAAATCGATGTAGAAAGCTCGGTACCGAGTCTAACAAAACATTGGATGTCTTGAAATCTCTATAGATCACAGGCTTTTCTGCTTCGTGGAGAAAGGCTAAGCCTTTTGCTGCTCCAAGTGCTATCTTCATCCTCGTCGGCCATGGCAATGTCACGCTATATCCTGCCCATTACAAAGCGCGCACAGTCTATCAATATGCCTCCAAATTATAATTTGGCTCGGTTTCAGATTCGTACCAACACAAAATTTTATTAGATTAAACGAACCGGACATCTTGAAAATCGTACTAAACCGGACAACAATTCCAAATTATTTTGAAACCGGACTAAAATTGAACCTTTTTTAATCAATACCGTAGGTAAATTAAAGCCAAATAAATATGCAATTTACCATACCAAACCGGACAGAGCCATATCACATTAAACCGAACTATTGCATTAAAGTTCAATATTTGAAACTCGGTTTGGCTATCCGGTTTGCTAGATGGACAACCAAAACCGAGCGAGAATCAGGAAAATATAAACAATAGACCGGTTTTGTTCATACCAAGTCGTGGTTTTGGGGTATGTAATATTTTATAAATAAAAATAGTACAAATAATAATAATAATAATGGAAAGAGAATAATGATTGGATGCATTACTTCTAAAGAGTTGATTTTCCAAGCTGCCTCTTGGCATGTACTCATAGACGAGAAGTCTTTGGTCTTCCTCGCAACAAAACCCAATCAGCTTCACAAGATGCTCATGTCTCAACTGTCCCAAAAATATTATCTCTGCCTACAAATTAAAACATATATATATATATATATATATATATATATATATATATTGCGTCATATATATACCATTTAATTAAAAATATATAGCAGGAAGGAAGATTGAATCTTTGAGCAAGATAATAACATGGACATTCGAAATCACAAAAATAATATCCTGTTATATGTCACATTTTGAAAAATTCAAATTCTTACATAGATTATCTGAACGTTTTGGTTCAGTTATAAAAAATTGAGTCGATTGATATAAATTTTCTAAAAAGAAAAAAGAAAAAATGAATACAATCTAGATATAAAAAATATATTTATTAATAAAAATCGAAATTGAGATTATAAACGATAGGAGTTTTTGGAGTTTTTAAAATAAAAAAAAAACCAAAAAATAAATTGACAATCAATTATAAAATTATTTTTTAAAAAAATTGAAAAGTCACTTTTGATAAAAAAAAGAAATCAACTAAAAACTAAAAAACTTCGTATTTTAAATTTACAAAAACAAAAACTAAAATAAAAAAACTTAAAATAAAAATTACCCGGTTTCAAAATAAAAAACCCAAAAAAAATAGATCCAAGCCAAACCGGAAATGGCCACCACTATCAATGGAGGAGAAAGAGAGAGAAACCTCACCAGCCATTCTCTGTGGCCTTGGTGACCATGAAGATCGAGTGCCTTAACCGCTACCGGTTGGGCATCCAAACCCGGTTTAAGCTTATCGTCAACAAACCCTTTGTAAACCGGACCAAACCCTCCTTCACCCAACATATTACTCCTCGAGAAACCATGCGTAATCACTCTGAGTTCCGACAACGTGAACACATGAAGCTTCTGACAAGTGAAAGAGTTGGAGAGATCGTCCACCACTGACATTGGAGAGCTCGGATCGCTTATGTCCGACAAAGACAGCCTCTGAAATGCCAGTATTGGACTCCTCTTCATCATCACCTCGACCCCTCCTTCCCCTTCTTCCAGTCGATTCTTAGTCTTGTAACAGCCGAGAAACAGAGATCTCATCAGTGATAGTGATGTCTTCTTCTTCTTCTTCATGACAGCCATCTGCCCTCTTCTGGGTTCTTCTGGTTTCCCCTTGTTTCAGATGTTTTGTAGAGAGAGAGAGAGAGAGATTGTTTGTGTTCTTTTGGTGGTTTCCCCTTGTTTTAGAGAGAGAGAGAGAGAGAGAGAGAGAGATTGTTTGTGTTTCTTGGGAGGTGAAGCCTTTGAAAATATGACAGTATTAGTTAAACTACTCTGTTAGAAAGTCTAAATCTCCCAAAGTCTTGTATTTATAGTTGTTGATGTGTCGTATTCCCGACCAAACTAATTGAAATTCCCACTTTCATTTTCTATCAATATTATTAATTAAATAATTAATTAACACCAAATTAAATGTGGTTTTAGGATCTTAAAGAATTATTGTTTCGATCGTGGGAAGAGACTTCAAGCGAAATTCTCTGGACGTGATAAAGTTTAATATTCTAAGCAAATGAAAGCTGAATTGAAACTAGATGATGTTAGGTTCATGTTGGTCTCGAAATAATGTGTCATTTGCCGGTCCAACATTTTTGCTTTTGGATTGCGTGTAGAAAGGATATTCGAAATGTTATTAAAAAATAAAATCCAGAAATTAAATAAAAAAAAGTAAAAAAAACGAAAACACTATTATTACATCACTTCTTGATTCACATATTTATAAAAATAAAAATAAAAAATATAGATACAATAGAAACAAATCAAATACATAATATTTGACATAATAATATTGGATCTATTATTATTTCAAATCATATCTCTAAAATTATATTTTATTTTGATTGTATATTCATTTTTCTATTATTAAAATAATAGTTATGATTAACTAGCCGCCGATTTCCCGTCATTATTTCTTTGGGCTTTGAAAAGCATAATCAGAGGATGAATAGATAAAATGAATTAAGACTTGAAATCCAAAAACAAATACATTGAGTGAACGGCCATTTATCAAATTTATAATTTCGGTCCAAACGCATTGTATCTGTATCTATAGGATGGATATTTCGGGTTTCTATTTGGCTGTTTTCGAATTCAAATTATAAGTATCAGATTTTTTTATATCGGACTTCGATCCGTTAAAAATTTTAAATTTTGGATTTTATAAATAAAAATATTCATTTTCTAAACAAATATTCGTTTTATTTCTGTTTTCGATTATTTTTGTATTCGTTGGAATTCCATTCGAGTTGGTTTTAAAATCTCACATTCAATTGATTTTTAGATCGGATTTATTGCGAATAATTAACATATGATTATTCGTTTCAATTCGTTTTTGTATTATATCTTTTCCGATTGTATAATCCTAACTGTAATCATCTATAGAAACAAAACGATTTAGGGTTTTGACATGTTTAACTTTGCTAAGCGACTTAGCGTCATGGATCTCGATTATAATTTGCCATACATGGAAAGCTTGTTTTACTCTCTTTTTTTTTAAAACCAAATTAAAAAGGTTTTTATTTTCTTGAATGTTACAAAAATGTGAATATGAATTTCTGGTTTAATTAGTGTAGATTTTGTTTTAAACCAATAATTTGACAGTATTTTAACATTACATTTATACGGCCATTAATTTTTTTTAGTTTTTAATTAATTCATCTGAACAGTTCTGTATCCTGCAATTTATAGATTACGCATGAAATGTATTTGATCCCCTTCGATATGAGGAGAATGACATGTTTCATTAGGACAGGACACAGTTGTATGTCCGTTGACTATGTCTCGTCCATAATTAAGTTAAGGGAAAAAAAACATACACCAATTCATTTTCTTCACTGATTTCACCAATGTAATTGTCACTTAGAATTTTTATCATTTTCTTCTAGAATGACGTAGACTTGCATCCTCCTTTACATCCACCTTTACGTTATCAAGAAATATTGGCAAATCGAACATATATATAAACTAAGTTTAAAATGCCCTATTAAGCCCTTCGGGACCAGGTAAGGGAGCAGGGTGCATCATCCTGAGGTGGAGGGTTCGAATCCTCTCATCGCTCTTCCTTGCCTTTGACCTACTCGCCTGTCAGCCCATTATAATGGGCTGATTTACCTCCTCTGCGTGTGTTGCAGGCTCGTGCGCATGGGCGTGGGGTTTGACCTGCAGGCACATAAGCCCAACTACGGCCCGAGCGTTAGGCACGCCTGGTAGCCAGGTCCGGCGGACTGAGGTCCATGGGGACTGTTAGACGCGGATGGTGGCCAGTTCGTCTCCGTTTGTAAGGGTAGATAGTCACAGAGGTTCCCCATAGTTACAAAAAAAATGCCCTATTAAGTTTTTTATTCAGAAAAAACTCTATAACAATTAGTGTACTTGTAGAATGGTGGAAAACTTATTGGCAAACGTTTCTTTAACAAATTTATTCTCAAATTTGTAAAATTTTAACGAACAAATTGTGTGGTTATATGACAAAAAATATAATACTAAAAACATGTGTGTGTATATGTTTGGAAATCCCACGCAAGTTTTTATTTTTTATATATTACATCGCACAAAAATAGTGCAACCTAAAAGGTTAAAAGGTAAGAAATTAAGGGAACAAAAAAACATAACTAAACCTAACGACATCTTTTTGTTAAAAAAATCCATATTGTTATCGAACATAATTTTATTTTTAGCAGGGGTACTACCAACTCGCTATCAGAAATCAAGAGAATTCTTGGATCCTTCGCGCAATGGTCGGGCCTCTTCATGAACCCCGACAAATCTGAGCTCTTCTTGGATGGGATGCCAGAGCATGAGGCGGATACCATCTCCTCGGCGTTGGGTTTGCGACTGGGAAAAATGCCAATGACCTACTTGGGTCTACCACTCAGTCCTTGGAAGCTCTCCAAGCATGATTTTCAGCCGCTCATCGACAGGATATCTCGGCGTATCACATTATGGACTACCAAGTACCTCCCTTACGCGGGTCGAATACAACTAATCTCCACGGTAATCTATGGGATGGTGAACTCCTGGTCCCAATCATTTGTCATCCCTAAAGGAGTCATCCAGAGTATAGATGGCATGTGCTCAAAGTTTTTATGGAAGTCAAGTTCGAGTACATCAGCGATTCCCAGAGTTGCATGGATTGATGTTTGTACACCACGATCAGAAGGCGGACTGGGTATTCGCAAGCTAGAGGACTTTAACACGGTGTTCCGCTTGAAGATGGTATGGCTGCTATTCCAGGAGTCGGGTTCCCTGTGGGTGGCATGGCTGCGGAAGCACGTCCTCCAACGTAGGGGCTATTGGGACACCAACCCTTCCTCTAGGTTCTCTTGGAATATGAGGAAACTCCTCCTTCTTCGGCCGGTGGTGAGATCGTTCCTGTGTTGCTCCTTGGGCGATGGTAAACAAGCTTCTTTTTGGTTTGATGATTGGACAAATTTAGGTCCTTTGATTGAGTATGTAGGTGATAATGGTCCGCGTTTGGTGAGGATTCCACGGCAAGCCAAGGTAGCTGATGCAGTCTCGTCCGCGGGGTGGTCGCTACCAGCAGCAAGATCCCAACGAGTGCTGGATCTCCACATCAAGCTATCTACAATGCGATTGCCAAGCACCGCCCACGGCCCTGATAGATTCGAATGGAAGCAGAGAACCAATGTGTTTGCCGGTGTTTTCTCCTCTGCAAGTACCTGGAAACTTCTCCGTCAGCCATCGCCGGAAGTACCCTGGCACGCTCTAGCTTGGTTCCCCGAGGGAGTACCTAGATATGGCTTCATCCAGTGGTTGGCTTTTCGTGGTCGCCTACCTACGCTCGATCGACTGTACTGATGGGGGGCGGTTGCAACCTCTTCCTGCCTTCTTTGTAGCTTGGAGGAGGAGTCTCACTCCCACCTCTTCTTCCACTGCAGCTATAGTAGGCAGGTCTGGTACAGTTTCGCTCGATCCATTTGGAATATGCCACCTCTAGATTTGCATGCCACTATGGATTGGATGCGTCGCCCAGGAAATGTCCAGTCCCATAATCGGCGTCTTATCACCCTTATTTTGCTGCAATGCTCGATTTATCTGTTATGGTCGGAGAGAAACGCAAGGATCTTCAGAGGGGAGTCATCGACGGTTGTCTCGCTTTGTGGTAAACTAAATGCCATGGTCCGTAACTGCATACTCTCTCTCCTCGGCTCCTCCCGTAGGATTGATTCGGCTCTTCTATCCGATTGGTACTATCTTACTCTCTATCCCCGATAGCTGCTCCACATGTTGTTTTTTATTGACTGATATGGTGTCTAGTTAGAGATATATGGGTATTCATTTTGTAGGGTATTCGGTCCTATCCGGTTATGTATACGAACTATTTTTATTAATATACATTTACCTTTTATAAAAAAAAAACCATAATTTTATTTTTTAATAGGAAAAAACTTTAAGAATATGTATTCCTTTTATTATAAATTTTAATTCATTTTTTTAATTTTGTTTGATTAGAAGAATCTTCGTTCTATTTTTTATTTTTTTTAAATGAATCATTTCAATCAATTTTGAAACTAAACTTAATTATTTGGATCTAGTTCCAATAAAACAATAATTTTATTAGCGTTCTAACAAAACAATAATTATAATTTATATATTAATAGAATAAGTAGTCATCCAATCATTTTTTTTAGAAAACGAATTTGAATCCCTATTTTGTCGGGCTGCGACCACCGAACAAATCTCCACAGCCTATTTTTTTTAAACATAAGAAAATAAATTCCGAATGGGCAAATGGATTTGGACCGTTCATGTGGAGTTTGATGATGGTTCTTATTTTTCCGACAATCTTATTATGGTGTTGAAATAAGCAATTATTATACATGCATGCATGGCGGTGAATCATATCTTATTCATATGATAAGAAGTTTAGACAAAAAGAAAAGAAAAGTTGGTACGCTGAAATAAACTCATTACTAAATAATAAATATCCATGCATGGCGGCCAAAACATATATATATATATATATATAATATTCTCTTTCACTCAACTAATTTTTAGATCCGAATTCGTATATAATTTTTATACAAAAACACCATACGAATTAACCATTAGCAGAATTTAAGATTGTTAGAATAGGCGCTCTCATACATTGAATAATCCCTAATAAGTATCTAAATAAAAAAAATTTGTAGGCCTTTGAATACAATGTTTTTAAATTCGAT